TGGTGCGGGGGCAACACTGAGGGTTCCGATCCGTTGCCGGACACAGAAAAAGACAAAAGACAAAAAAAAAAAAAAAAACACTCTGTGTAAGGATAAGAAAATATCTTCAAGCCATATTGTTAGTAAAAAAGCCANTATCGTAATCTACATAGGTAAAAACCCAACTATTAAAAATATCAAAATCATGAAAATATCTGTGTAAAACAAACATTTTCAAGAACTAGCTTGGAAATGGCCACTTATTTAAAGCAGGAGTCAGTGGGAGAATTTATTGAAATATGAAAATGTCTGTATATTTTTAAATTGCACTGTATTCTACCACTATAAAAAGGAATGCAAAAACACTCTGTGTAAGGATAAGAAAATATCTTCAAGCCATATTGTTAGTAAAAAAGCCAGGTTCACAATCTTAGGTATAGTATAGTATCATTTATGTAAAAAAAAAAAATGTAATCATGTGTTTTTGTTCTACCTAAAAAATCTCTGGATGAATCCTCAAAATATAACACTGATTACCTGTTTAGGGGAGACTGGCTGGGGTGCATTAGTGCGAACTATATGATATTGCTGATATTCAACTCTTTTTATTTATGAAAACAATTTCATGTAGTTCAGCTTAATAGTTTTTGATCTCTAAAACATGTTAATGTATTACATATTTGTGTTGGTTTTCTTTTTTTCTTTTTTTTTTTTTTTGTCTTTTTTGAGACCGGCCACACTGCGCTCAGCCAGTGAGCGTCCCGGCCATCCCTATATGGGATCCGAACCCGTGGCAGAAGCACTGCTGCGCTCCCAGCGCCACACTCTCCCGAGTGCGCCACGGGCTTGGCCCTTTGTGTTGGTTTTCTATTGCTGCATAGAAATGCTCACACTTAGTGGCTTAAAACAATAGCTGTTTATTAGCCCACAGTTTTGTAGAGTAGAAGCCTGGTACAGCATAAGTGAATTCTCTGCTCAGGGTATCCAGAGGCTGAAATGAAGCGGTTAGCTGTGCTGCAGGCTCTCAAAAAAAATCTGCTGCAAAGTTCATTCTTGTTATTGGCAGAATGCAGTTTCTTGTGGTTGTAGGACTGAGTGGTTGCAGTATCTTGTGGCTGCAGTATCTTTGTTGACTTCTGCCAAGGATTGTCCTCAGTCCCTAAAGGCTGCTCCCAGGTCCTATCTGTGTGGCCTCTGCCTTCTTCAGGCTAGCAACAGCACTTTGTGCTGAGTCTTCTGACATCTTCTGCTGCCAGCTGGAGAAAAGTTTCTCCTTTTATGGGGCTCATGTGATTAGGGTAGGTCCACCTTCATAACCTTCCTTTTAATTAATCCAAAGTCAACCAATTAGTAACCTTAATTACATTTGAAAAAAATCCCTTTTGCCATATGAGGTAACATAATCACGGGAGTGATATCTCATTACCTCCACAGGTTCTGCCCACACTTAGGGGGAGGAAACTACACAAGGGTGAAATGTCATTAGGTCACCTTAGAATGCTGTCTGCCACAATATTCATAAAATCTAATGTAGTCAACAAATCCTGACCACCAAGAGGTGAAAATCAGCTCTACTCTGATGTGATCCTGTTGCTTTGACATCTGCTCTCATTTACCGTAGATGATCTGGATGTTGCCTATGAGAAGCTGAGTCAACTCATTCGAGAATACCTTGGCTTGACTGAAGAACCTGCCAAGAGTCTGGCTCCAACCGCAGGTACCATCCAACCCCCTTTTTGCCAGATGGTTTTTTTCGTGGAAAGGAAATCTGTGAGTTGTTATTTGGGTACTCATCAGCGAGGCTAATGCTGGTTCTATCTTATTAATCCTTCTTCTGGGGTGATCATCCCCACAAACAGGCTGCATGAGTCAGTCTCTGGACCTGTGACTCTGCTTGTCTCCATGCCCATCACAGAACTCAGGGGACCGCCCTTCAGGGACAAGCGGGGCAGTGTCTCAGAGGTGGGGAACAGACAAGGGTTAGCCTCAAGAGTTCGGAACTCAGCCTTCCAGAAGTTGAGTTCCTGTGGGGGGCTGAGGAGTTGTTCTATCTGTTGGGTTTGCATTTAGCTTTATTTCAGTCCAAAAGATTTCTTCCCCCTTTGCTTTGCATCACCCCAGCCCTGAAAACGTTGCAGTGCAGAATATAGTGGAAAGAGCACTCGTAAGAGGATATGATCCTGTCCTGGCCCTACTGCTCCTTTGGGCAAGCTGCGGAGCTGTCCTGAGCATCAGTTTACTGTCCTGCTAATTGGACTTAACGCTCCCCACCTGCCTCATGGATTATGAACAGCAAATGACGTAGGATATACAGGAGCATCTCCTTGGAATCTAGGAATTCTAAGGCTCTAATGTAGAATTTTGGTACATGAGTATTACATGATGTATTTAAAAGGTTCCCTCAAATTCACCTCACAACCAATAGGATGAATACTTTAAAAACAAAACAAAACAAAACAAAAACAGAAAAGAACTATTGGCAAAGATGTGGAGAAATTGGAACCCTTGTATGCTGTTGGTGGGAATGTAAAATGGTGCAGCTCCTGTGGAAAACAGTATGGAGGCTCCTCAAAAAATTAAAAATAGAACTAGCACATGATCCGGCAATTCCACATCTGGACATATGCCCCAAAAGAATTGAAAGCAGGATCTCAAAGAGAGAGTTTGCACACCCATCTCCATAGCAGCATTATTCAAAATAGCCAAAAGGTGGAAGCAACCCAAGTGTCTATGGATGGATGAATGGATAAACAAAACGTGGAGTATACATGCAGTGGAATATTATTCAGCCTTAAAAAAAGAAGGAAATTCTGACACATGCTAGGATGTGGATGAACTTTGAAGACATTATGCTAAGTGAAATAAGCCAACTGCAGAACGACAGATCCTGTATGATTTCACTCATATGAGGTACCTAGAATAGTCAATCTCATAAAGACAGAAAGTAGCGTAGTGGTTGTCAGGGGCTGGGGGAGAAGAGAATGGGGCGTTGTTGTCCAATGGGCACAGAGTTTCAGTTTGAGAAGATGAAGAAAAGAGTTCTGGAGAGGGAAGGTGGTGATGGCTTCCCAGCAGTGTGAATGAACTTAATGCCACTGAACTGTACGCTTAAAACTGGTTAATATAGGGCCGGCCCGGTGGCGCACTGCTATAGTGCGCCACTTGGGAAGCGCAGCGGCACTCCC